CGTTGTGTGAAATCCTGGTTTTGTGTGTATGGGGGGCCAGGTCGTGCCGTGGCGCGCGCAGTCATGGTCAGTCGAGCATGACAGCCACCGCGCCCATTCCCCACTCCAGTCTGCTGACCGGCTCGGACAGCGGCTGGGGTGTGGGAGTGGTAAGGGAGAGTGAGTCGACGACTCAGCGCACTTTCTCCTCACTTTAAACAATCTGACGCGCTGGAAGCTACCACGGTGCGCTAAAAGCCGTGGCTTGGAAGGTTGCCAACTGACGGGGTAACTTGTACCTCCTCCTTGACCGGAGGCGGCCTGAGAGTCAGGCTGCAATGGCTCCTTTTAATGTGGCCTTTATGGCATTCCCACCACAGTGTGGGATCCGAGCCAGGAGTTGGCGGCACGCCCAGGTGCGGCTTCGGCCGTGCCAGCCTCCAAATCTCTGTTGTGATTGGTTGAAATCCTGGTCATTTGTTGTGTGGACCAAGGGGTGTGGTGGAACGCCAAAGTGAGGATCCGTCCGAGCCATCCACCTGCGACCTCCCTCGTCTCCGGTCTTCTTGACTCTGTCTTGACAACGGGCACGGGCGAGGGAGGAGGAGAGAGTGTAGACAGATGCAACGCAAACCCCTGCGTAAGTCACCGTCCCTGCTCCCATTGCTGCTGCAACTGTGGGGTACACCGTGGACATCATCGAAACCGATGGTCGAACTGTCATGTCGTAAGTGTGCATTCGTTCTTCACCCTGCTGATACTGTTTGCATTACCACACATGTGTCTCCGTTGAATTTCATGCACGGTCGTGAAAGAAATCTCGAATCCACTGCGGGTGATTACCTCTCATACTTACGGCTGGCAACTTTTGAACAAGTCGCCTATGTGAAATGCAATCAGACGCCCTGCTGAAATTAAAGTAAATGACATCTACTGGACGCCCTTCATCCATGGCCTTTGACCAGTGTTCAAGCCACTAAGAAGGTTTGTGAGGCAGGACGATCTTTCACAGAAGTCATATTGAACTGAACTCACGTGACAGCAAGATGTATCGAGTGATGTAATTAACTGTCCCTTCCCTCAGCTTGCAGCAAATGCATGTCAGACTTTCCGGTCGGAAGTTGGTATGATACAGCCGTAACCCTCTCTTGTAGAGGGGTATGACGTTTTTGGAAGATTACACAGAGTGGTTCTGCTACTTCTTCAGCTAGTTGACGTAAGAGTACACCTGGGATCTCATCTGGTCTAGGTGACTTGGTCGGATCCAACTTATTTAACTCTGTCAAAACTAGCTGCGGTGTAAATACTACTGCGTTTATAAGTGATTGTTTGACGAGCTGTGGCTCAGAGCAGGAGTGGAAGGGTCTTCCCGTGGTATAGACACCTGGTGTTCGAAATCCTGGTCGGATTTGCGTGGACCTAGCCTAGCTCAGGTTAAGGGGAGGAGGGAGTGCGGTAGTTGCTGTGCAAGCCTACCATCACTATAAACTAATTCAAGATATATCCACCGTACCTGCTCTCATCTTGTTGTGAAACACACGGTGGACATTGTCGGCAACGACGATCGAGACCAGGGTGGCTGTAGCCGGTCTTTTCGTGTGTTAGTTTAGGAAAGCTGTGGCCTCCCATTTCAACATTAATGTCTCCTGCAAATCCAACTCAATCCCCCCGGTTGCTCAAAGGACTGTCTATCAAAGAAGGAGTTTGTGTCGAGAGGAAGGCATAGCGGTTCATCAAATCAAGTACAACCGAAATAGACGCCAAAAAACGTCTACTGATAACATGGTCTAGTCATTTATGCCAGAACTCTTTTAGTTTTTTCCAGAAATTTTGTCTATCCTGTAATTTAGAATTCGGACTTTTAAGAGTGGATAGCTCCGACAAATTTTGTCGTCATCGTCATAAACACCCGAATTTAAGATAACTGCCGTATTTGATTCCTGCGAAGTAAATAAACTAAACGAAATCGTGAAAACCCTGCTCTTAAGTGGGACTGCATGTATCTGCAAATTGATTGCAGACGTACGCAGTCAAACTCGGAATGCAGTACTGCCGGTTTAGCTTGCCGGTTCAGAGGGCAAGCATTTTATTGGTAACTTGCGGACACGACGGGGTTACAACTCGTAAGAAAGATGCGCTATTTATTTTGGCTCCTATGCGTTCTGGAACATTCCGTCCAATGACGTGCCAGCCGTTGAGGGCGTTCTAGAATGTTCCTGCCCCGGGCGTGCTGGTCGCTGATTGGCCACCACATGCGCGATAGCCCCCCCCCGCGGAAACGTCTGGAATGTTATACCAGACATTGATTGGGTCGCACACGTGAGCACAGCCACCACACATGCTCGGCTCTGTAGTGCACGCCGGTCGGCCGTCTAACTTCACGCGTGTCTAACGCCACTGGCTTGGTCCCCTGCTCGGCGCCTTAGGCCGTGGCCCTACGCCGTTTGAACTCTCCATTACATTAGCACTAACTTTGACCAGTCGCATAATGTTTCGTGCGAAGATAGGGAAAATTTTTTTGGTCGGATATGGTTATGTAGCCGTACCTGAGGTAAACATACCCAGCCATCTGCAATACGGGACCGGTGGTAATA